TTGTGGGGTTTACAGATGGGCATCTAGATGAGGATCAGCAGGCGGTGTCGTCACCTGTAGCCTGGAAATCACTTAGACTTCCCAGGGTAGTAGCATCAAGGCTTGCCGGATAAACCCAGGTCTTCTGCATGGCCGCAGTGTTGCTGACCGGCTTTAGTTGATGATCGCAGAGATAAACCTGGGGAGCTCTGATTTTAGACAATATCAGAATCATTTGGCAAGCGCTCCCCTTACAGGCATCACTGATTGCAAGTGGCTGTACGATGCTTGCACAGCCCGGGGTCCCCATCAAGAGTTGATGACAAACGTGTAGCCATAAACCTGGCGATCATCAGGCAATGCATGGCGAGGACAGACCTAAGTGCCAGGCGGTACCTGAGCGTCGGCCGGTGCTAGCCTTTATGAAGGAACAGCGGGATCGTAGAGCTGCGCGTAGGAGGCCGCGGGTTCTAGCAAACCAGAAGTATTTGCCTATAATTCTGAAAGAATGGCCCGAACCTAATCCTAAGAGGGATCCCCTTAAGAAGGGTGTGTCGTGAGTGCCGGATGCAACAAAGAAACTTCAGCAGTCAGTGTTGTGCTTGTTCACTGAGTTCTGGTATCTGCCACAGCCTGGACAGCACATCTGCGCCGAGCAGAATTCCGCACGCAAGCGTGGGATTCCGTGGAATCAACACAAGACTGCAAAGCTTCCACCGGTGATCCTATGGAGACGTCGGTGAAGTGTATACTTGCTGCACCTGCAATGTTAATGGCTCATAGGCAACGGTTTGGCCTGTACCTGAAGGAGTGTGTGCATAGCCCCGAGCATCTTACTCACAGTGAACCATTCCGAAGACCAGTCCGGAAAAAGCAGCTGAGAGCGTTCATGGAGCAGATGAGGGCGCAGGGTCGGACCGATGAGATCTTGGCAATCATCCGAGAGAACTTGGATCGCAACAGCAGGACCCCGACATCAGTCAGGTACGTTCCCTTAAAGAATGGGGCCGGACAGTGTGCAAGTTGCTCAAAGTTGCCAAGATGGGCTTGATTTACCGAGAGCTTGCAGACCTCGGCCACACGGACCAGGAGGTTGCAACTACCTCTCCCACTTCGTGATGTGCCATAGCGGCACCTCCGACCTACGCCGCGCTGTCTGGTCGCCATCGACTTCAAGAGAGTCTCCCTTCACCTACGCGCCTTCATCCTCGAAGATTCGAACGTTCCGAGGGTGAGCTCATTGAGCCGGGGTGACCATGTGTTCTCGGGGACTATCGGCCAAAGTCCTCCAAGGACATTCGGTCCAACCACTTTTTCAATCCCATAAAACAAGACCAGAAGGAAGGGAGTGTGAATGCACACGAATTTCTCCGTGCCAGGTGTTTCCCTGCAGCGGACCTTTCTGCCCGAGCGAGAGCAACAAAGTGCCGCTTCGTGTATGCCAGGCGGGTAGCGCTTATTTGAGACACCCCAAAACCCTGAAACCCAAATCCTTGCACCACAAAATCTTAAACTGGGCTCTTTGGGTCCACCCAACACCAAATCCGTCCAGCCTGAGGCCATGGACGAAGACAAAGGGGGGGATTGCAGCTACGCTCAGGGCGATGACCCAATTCAGTACCAGGCCTTCCTGAGACATACACGATTTAAGATTCAGGCCGGCAAAGTTTCAGGTTCAGGGGGCTTGTTGGTTCGGAGTTTCGGGTCCAGGCCTAAAGTTTAGGATTTAGGCAATTTATGTGGTCGCTCGTGGGATTCCCGTTGTATTACCTTTCTTAGTTCTTCATAACGCTTTTACAAAAGGGCCATGATTTTGACAGAGCCCCAACTACGGGCATGTAGAAATTGCGCACGCAGAGCTAGGGCTTTGGAAGGTTTCTCCATAGGGTTTAGGGTTTGGGTCTAGGTCCAGGGTCAAAGGGGTGTTAGTACATTCAGGGTTCTGCAGAAACATTCGCGGAAGTTACCGTGGCCTGCGCCAACCAGTAACACCAGCTAATTCCCCAGGATGCTACCGTGCCAGCAAGCACGGAGTGCTCTATGAACAGAGGAGCCAGTGTAATCTTGCCATCTGGATTTGCTTTGCGAAATGCCGCCAATTCGAAGACACACCACCTGGGCATTTCCAAAAACAAATCGGGACCCCCTACGTACCCTACAGTTCAGAATCCCATAATCTTTGATATAAGACTCCCGAAATAAGGATCTAGAATTTGTAGAATTCCCCACCTCCTTGACAAGTAAGCAGGACTCCACAACACGCAAAGTTCAGTGGCATGGCTTAAAAACCCACCAATACTGCGAATACCACGTTGTTTGAGATCCAGATCTGTCTGATGAATGCAGGCAATATCCACAAAACACAGCGGGCTACCTCCGCGTGCCGGAAGATAGGGCGAGCAACCAAATCCCACAAGTAGCCCAAGGAATCCGGCCACCATCAGCCACAGTCCATAAGGACTTTTTTCGTCCCAGCTCAAAGCATAAGTACGGACAACGAAGGGCATCATCACGTGGCCGAAGCTTGAATACAAAGCGCATGTGCTCACTACAGCCAAAAACCACAGACACAGCGCGCTGTGCAAGCCACATCTGACCATGAGGGCAAGTACTTTGAAAGTCCCGGGCGTCCGCCATGTATGAGATAGAAACAGATCGAGTTGAGGTACACGGCGTGACTGATGCCACAGTTGCCTTGATACCTTTTCGTCCACATCATACGGGCTTAGCCGCCATATCCATCCGAGCGTTTTCAAGGTGGAGCGTAGAGGCACACCTCGCAACAGGTCATCATCCACTTGCAAATAGCGACCGTCTTGGAGTTCCGTCATCGCTAGTTCGTGTGACTCAGCAGAATGGGCAGAATGACCGCTCGACGTGCTGGGCCGAGGACGCCGAGGAAAAGAAAGAAGGCCGAAAACCTCTTGGCCGGGCTCAGCACTCCTTCCATGGCTCGTTTTCGCTATTTCCACGCCAGCGAGGCCGAGTCTTCCATCAGCCGGAGCTCGACAGTCTAGAAAGGAGCTTGATCCCACGGAGCCATCCAAGCCATCTGGGCCCTGGAAACTAGACAACTGGGCTTCCACGTCGACAGGATCTCCTGAACATTTACATGAAATTTCAGCAATGACGGTTTACAGGGGGTTGTCGGGATTAGTTGGGGGGGATAGGACGAATATAACGTGTTAGAAAAACATGTTGACACGACTGAAAACATGCCTTCATGGTGCTGTGACTCTGAAAGACAATTAATAAACCCCTTAGCCGTCAACTAAAACCTAAATTCCTCAGAATCTTGCCCAGAAGATCGTCTGTAGTAAACCCAAAATTCACGAACCCCCAGCCCCAGTCCTTAGACTCTAGACCTTAAACCTCAATCCTTCTTTTACGTTCCTAACCAACCCAAGTCTCTGCAAATGCAGGCGCAGCAAGGTTTTCCAATCAGATTATGATCCATGTTCCTCCTCCTTCGGGGAGCGTCATAGGCCGCAACATGTCGGGTTACATCTGCCTGATATGAAACCGATGCTTGACATTCGAAGTGCTACTGCAGAAAATCATGGCTGCAAGATGGTTGCTGCTTTCTGCTTCGCGCTGCGACTGGTGTTCCTCTTGATGCTGCAAGCCTGGTCTTATACTGTTGCGAAGATATGGGGAACTAGATTCGGACTCTGGCTGCATATTTTAGGGTTAAGGCTGGGTTTGGCTTGCCACACAGCTCTGATGACACAGCAACTCATGTGAGGCTTCGAAGAAATAGATGCATCTGGGACATGTAGATTGAAATCTGCGAAGGTCCCGGAAGAAAATGGGTCAATCTTGAAATTGTGGGCGTGACAGCATGAACCAAGTTCTAATTGTGTTGAACACGTATGTTCGCCAATGTGATCGCAAGCGTGCAGCGTGATCGAGAGTCGCAACTGACTGCATGCGAGTTTGCATGCTGTCACCGTCGCAAGCTGGTTTCACGCACCAGACCGGGTAAGGCTTCCGATGTGCTCCAGCTGGTTTGTAAGCAAACCGCGAAACTTTTTGCGTCTGCATGAAAATTGCTACGTAAGCTTTACATTCAGCCGATTTTGCGCTCCTAAAGCGCAACTTGGGTCCTGCTGTCTGTGCATCTCAGCTGCTAGCAACCCAAACGACATGAGGATAGGTGAGAGTTTGTTCGCAAATGATACCAAAGCACAGCATTACATTCAGCCCCGAAAGGAATACATGCAATCAAGCATGAAATGCAAAGATCCACACACGCTGCAAAACGCCGGCCTGCAAACATGTCGGTGACCCCACTGTCTGGGTTACAATTCATCGGGATCTTGGGCCATCTTTGTGTGCAGTAAGAAATAATGCACGGCATGCACCACGTCAATACAAAGCAAGCCCTCTCAACGAAGCAGTGGCTGTGGCCTGTGGCTTTAGTGCCAGCTCTGTGGATGGGTTCCAACTGCACTCAAACACACAGCAGTCCAAAGGCATTTTGTGTCCACTATTAGCCACGAAGCCATCTACCATCAGCTCCAAGCTCATGGTTTCCAGTGGCTCCAGGCCGTCACGGAATTTCTGCCTGTGGTCTTCTGCCACGAAGTAAGCTAATTCAGATAAACGCAATCATAAAACAATCATAAAATGCGGCTGCAATTATTACCCCAAAACTGGTGACGTAGCTGTTCCTGGTTACAGCACTATGCTGCTTGTGCTGATCTTATGTCAGCTGAGAAGGTCATTGGCATTCCAGAGGTCAGCTATGGCCTCGTGAGCCATCCTGACGGATTGGTAACATTAGCCATGATGGAACTCAGGAAGGAGCACCGTTCAAGTCGTTCCAGAACTGTAAAAAGCGTCAGATTCCTACGTAATCGCTTGGCCCGGCAAGCAGCGACTCGGAAGTGTAACTCAGAAATGCAGTCTTTGCTTTGAAAGATTAGGCTAAGAAAAGGCTGCTGCGTCACAATGGTGCAAGTAGGATCGTCATCTATCCAGTGAATCTCTTAGCCGAAACCCTGCAGCTCTACACCGCATCACTGGTGCCCTTCCTTGTCATCTTCAGAAATTCGACTGAGCAGGCCTTCGCTGGCAAAGCCAGCGGACTCAGTTAACGGATCCCAAGATCCCACAGAGGTGGACATGAGGCTCTCCTCGAGACCACCACGCATGGCTTCGTCTGTCACAATTACTATGCGTGCGTATGCGAGACACGTTTTGCACTCCTGTCATGACTCTTGCTCCCTTCTTTCTTTCTGTCAGGGCTGTTGGAGAGCCTTGCGAAGGAGTCCCTCTGTCTCTCTCTCTCTCTGTCTTTGAAGTGACCATCATCAGTCTCTTTCCCACTTTGCCAGGACCTGACACGGCAACATCCGAGTCGACACATCCACGTGCTGAAGTATCTTTAAAGACTTGAATACTTTTTTTCTAGGAGAACGGACGGCCACGACTCCCACGCTTTTGAACGCCACATGGCTGCACGCATGTGTGTCCATGCTACCATAATAATGCATTGTGTGAACTGCGCGTATGCATGTTTGAACGTATGCTCCCCAGAAAACTTCCCGATGCTGTGTCCATCAGGCTGCAACTTTAAGAGCAAGTCCTGCTTCTCTTTGTTTTCGCCGTCCATGTGGTTTTGTTGCTGTCATGTGCTATCTAATAAATCATTACACCTACGCAGTCCGTGAGGTCTCGAAATTTAAGTGGGCTCAAAGAAAGCAAGTGCAATTCTTGCATCAGCAGAGAAGCAAGCTGTGCCTAAGGTGCCAGTCCATGCACCACTTGCACAGCCAAGGCACATGGATGTCTCCGTTCTCATTGAGTACCAGCTTCTGAAAATCATCTTCGTCAAAGGTCATGAGAATGGCAATGGCTCTGTGCCATTCGAAAAGCCTCTGTGCTGAGCTGCAGTGTGCAATTGCTGTCTTGAAGCTCTGCGTTCACAGGAAAGCTTACGCAGCATTCCAAATCAAAGCAATGCAGTGCGTGTGGACGTCGTTCTCCCTTTCTTTTATCACCAACAGCCATGCGGCTGGCAGAGCTTGCGCACAACCATGGCCAGCCAGATGTTCCTGAAGCTGAGAGTCGGAAATTTAAGGAAATCCATGAAGAATTTAGCTGAGGTTCTTCAGTGCCCTTTCTGCAGGCTGCATGATGCTATCTTCGCCTCCAAAGATGAAGAGGAAAATTCGGTCACGCACAAACCTCAAAGCATCCACACACGCGAGTTGCATTTCAATCTATAGCCTGCTCAACCCAGACTTCCTCTAAGTCTTCATCTGCCTTGAGACGTAATAGCCAAGACGTTCCAGAATCCAGAAAAAAAACGGAGCGGCGTCTTCTGCTGCCAAATGTGGGTGGCTACAATGCGGTGAAGCGAGGCGGAGCCAAGGGAGCCAAAGGCTTCTAACTCTCAACGTGAGTGTTTCATCCAACTGATAAGCACATGTTGCAGCTGCATCTCAAGGTGTTTGCTAGCGCCTGTATGTGCCCGCTTAAACACTCAGCTGACCCCACCGAGCTGCATGGAGAGTTGAACAATGCCAAGAACCTGCACAATGAACATCGTCAGGCTGAGAAAACTCCATGGTCCGAGCTCGTCTTTGTGGATGTCGCCTGAAACGCGAGCTTCAGCCAAGCGCTGCCCGCAGTATGATCCAAGATAGCCGGTGCAGAAGTAACAGTGTGCTTAGGAAGTCGTCGTGTGCAGATCATAGCAGAGCATTGTAAAAGAAGTAGCAGTTAGCGATCGTCGTAACATGAGGAGGAGCAGTAGTTAGTACGGCTCACCTGAACGTTTGCCCTCGTTTTCATCCAAAATGTAAGAGTAGTAGTAGGCAGTGGTTACGTTCGTGACGGTACGTTTTCGAGGCATCGCAGGACCAAAACATCTGTGATTTCCATCGCTCTTGGGTTCCAGATGGCCGCAATTGCGCTCGAATTTGTCGGCGCTGTTTATGTTAATCACGTTTCAGCATGCGGAAACTCAAATCCGTGCATCGTTGATATTGGTTCCAAGCAGAATCAAAGATAAAACGATCCCTAGTGAATTACTAGTACTCTTGCTATTATTGCTCGCAGGAAACCAGCCAAAACTCCTAAGGAAAATACGAGCCTAACAAATCTTGCTGACTGCCAACCACAGAGCCTGGGGCGTGCGTTGAACTAACGGGGCGATGAACAAATTAAATCAGAACTCCTCATACCCTTGGACTAATGGGCGTGCCCTCCACTAAAGGGGCGATGAGAGAATTACATCAGAACTCCTCATACCTTTGGATTAATGGGGCGTGCCCTGGACTAATGGCGCGGTGAACAACTAAATCAGAGCTCCTCATACCCTTGGACTAATGGGGCGATGATAAAATTAAATCAGAGCACCTCATACCCCTTTTTCCCTCCCATTTGGCTCAACACATGCAGGGCGCGCAGGATCCAAAAGCGAACGGCATGCACATCAGAACCGACTCTTGAAACCACTACGCAAACTCTTGTGAATTTGTGGTAGGACTATTGAGGCGTTCCCTGGACTAATGGGGCGAACCCTGGACTAATATAGAATTAAATCAGAACTCCTCCCACCATTGGATTTATGGGGCAAACCTTGGACTAATGGGGCGATGATAGAATTACATCAGAACTGCTTCCACTATTGGACTAATGGGGCGTACCCTGGACAAATGGGGCGATGAATACTGAGAAAAAGCCTTCGGGAAGCCTACTTGAAAAAACACGTTTTTCTCAAACAACGTCAGCAAAAATACTGGGCAAATGGATCAAGCAGAAAAAGTCACAGGAGGACTTTTTCAAACATCGCGCGGAACCCCAGTTTCAGTAGGGCGAAGTGGAGAAAATCACGCCGTCATAAACGCGCCCGCTACCTCCTAGTCCTACTAGAAGTAGTAGTAGTAGTAGTAGTAGTAAGAAGCGCCACGGCTCAAAACCTGCTCCTCAGCTGAGCAGTTTCGATGCAATGGACAAGGATATTTTGCTTGATACCAGTAGTGCCAGTCTGGCCACAAGCTTGCGACAAGGGATTAAGAGAATGCATCGCAAGCACAAAGACCCTATAACCCAGACGACAATGACTCGACACGGAATCCATATGCAGCAGTCAACACGAGGACACTCGACATTCTCGGACTTTGGGGGATACCTACCTCTGAAATCAAAACATTGGGATTGTGGTTGTATCTCAAGGAACATCGGGCTGCCGTTGAGTTGGTTCTTTTGCAAACTCCTTGACGGGTGGGTCTTTGAGGTGTTTGTTGTTGACTTGCTACAGAAAAGAGTTCTTGCATATGCAGACAGTGCAGCAGACCACGCATAGGACCCCGCTCAACTGCGAGAAAGGGGATCGGAGGCAGCACGACAGGAATATGTTAGCAACTTGCTTGCATTGTACGCCAACTGAAGCACACGCGCAAGCCCATTGAAAGAAGAATGCATTGCATACAACTCAAACAGGACCTTGAGGATAATCATACAGCATGTCCTGCTACCATTATTCATGCAAGCCTGTTACCGAATGAAGTGGGACAATGGGGACGGACCATTCATGATCATGGCTGGGAGCACCTTTGGCTACCCAAGTAATGAACGCCCCTGCCCTGGCGCCCCACAACGCTCGCATACCATGGAATGCAGTCTTCAGTGGAACATGCTCGGAAAGGGTTGCCACTCTGGCCCCTGCATGTATACTGCCTGTGTGATCTTCTTGCTGTTGCCCTGGCTCCAGTGCTGTCCTAGCAATACATGCAACACCGCAGCCGCGACATGGCCGATCGCAAACACCCGATACCGGAAATCGAAGAGAAACATCACGGGATCGCCGAGAGTATCGGAGCAGCCATTCGCAAACGGATGAAACCGAGCAAAGGCGATGCATTGCCGGCTTGGAAGCATGGATCAAAGAACGGGAAGTGGACAAGCCAAGGGAGGATGCGTCCAGCGATGCCAGGGGAGAGCGGGCCCCTAGCACCATCAGTCCTGTCGCCAGGAAGCCCACTACTCCGTCACGTCGGCAGGTTTCGTAGCCTCCCTCTTTCGGGGTAACGGGCTTTGGAGGCGGTGATGCCGGCGCTGGCTTGGGCGGCGTAGCAGCCTTCGGAATGTTGGGCATTCCGGCTTTTGTAGGCTTCAAAACTGTGGGCATTGCCTTTGCACCCACTTGACACCCTTATGCGTTGTCTGCAACGCTGGCTTCGGTGCCACAATCTCCGTCGAGGGTGATGCCATAGATGGTGAAGGCGGCAGAGGCTGAACCAGTGGTCGCTTGGGCTCGGGCTTTGATGGCGTGGCTGGCGTACTTGCCGGCGACTGTGTTGGTGGCTCAGTGATGGTCTCGAGGGCATCATCGCAGTCCGTGCCCTCCACAATCGGGCTGCTGTGGAGGCAGAGGTACGGCTCAGGTGAAGCCACGACCATATCTTTGCCCAGGCGGATGAGCTCCACTGGGTCGGCGCTCCAAATCGTCTCGTCCGTGGTCGCATCCGGGATCCACGGCGAGGATGCCGTCACTCACTGTTCTGAAGAACAACGCACCGAAGTAGATTGCGATCTCCGTGTCAACAATTAGCTCGTGTTTGGCACCTGCTCGGACTCCGGATTTATACTTTATGTCCTCGAGAGGTTTGTGGGAGAAATAATTATGGGCTTTTCCTGATTCGATCTCCGGCCCGCCTCCTACGATGAAGCCCTGCTCGACGATGGCCATGGCAGAAGTTCGCCCCATCCTCTAATCCGACGCTTGGGGTACTCGCCTTGCATCTCGAGCTGCTTGCCATCTCTGGCAGCAGCCTGGTCGCTCAGTCGCTCCTCCCATCAGGCAAAGTTGGCCTTGGTCTTGGGTCAAAGAACGAAATCGCTGTTGCAGTGGCCAACTCAGGGTTCCTGCTGAGAGCGGTTTTGCTATGGCCTTGATTGGCTCGGATTTGGAAGGGCCAGACTGGGAGCTCCAGGTACTGGCTGTGCTTGATGTTTGGACCTTTGATGGCGAAGCGCTCCTTGTCGTTGAACTTGAAAATGTCGATGATCTCGGCCAGCGGTCAGGATTCCCTGGAGTTGGCATTCAGGTGGGCGAGGACATCATCTATCAGGAGCCAGCCATCTTTATCCATGTGGAGGCAATTGCTTGCGCGTCTGTTGCCTCCTCTGATAATGCCTAGCCAGCTTCCGTACCTGCTCTTGGATACCATCCAACACGATCTGGAGAAGGCAACCCTGCTTGTCTAGCCATATCTTCTGACAGTGTCATAGAGTAGAAAATATCTTCGTGTGCATCCACAAAGCCTCCTCGTTTTCGGCCCAAAAACCAAAGGAGCCATCAAGCTCACCTTCATCTATAACGATGAAGCTGCTTCTTCCACCGTGGCCGGCATTGTTGAGGAGAGGATTGTCCACTGCTGTTTTGCTGTTCTGGGATTGCAAAACGTCTCGATGAAAATATCTTTGAGAGTACCGGCGTCCAACCCAACCATGTCTATGCCTCGATGCGCCATAATGCTGGTAAGTGACATTCTTTGATCGAAAGACAACTCTGCATGCGTAACAAAGAGAAGTCCTATCAGGTTTTTCGTCAGCGGCACCTTCTGCATAGGCGACGACAAGCTCATGGGCAGCGGTCATAATTTGGGTTGCGGACATTGCTTGCCGTTCTTTTCCAGATAAAGAAAATTTGTGTATTGTCGAATTTCATCGTGCGCTGGATCACTGATGGGTGTCAAGGTATCACCCCATGCTTCTTCCAGACGCTTCAACTGAATTTGAAATCTTGACATCCATTTCATAAGATCGGATGAACCACGGCGCAAACTCATAAACTGCTGAAAACGGTATAGGAAGACATACACGCTGCCTTTCACAAAGAATGGTCGCAGCGTCCGCTTGAAGTAAGTTACGCCGTCCTCCTTGCTCTTCACGTTTTCCCTGCTCAGCATCTTCTTGTAAATGGCGGCGTCTCCTTCAAGTTTATTCCGTAACGCTGGCCCTCTTTTCTCATCGTCCAGTTCAGCTATGTCGCACCAGTCATCAATTGCATCTTCATATGCAAACCATGATGTTTTTCCATCAAACGAAGGTGGTATTTTTTTCGTTAGCTGGGAAAATTGACTCATTCAAGTTATGTCGTATGTCGACATTACTTGCGTGGCACGCGCCTCCTCGTAAGGGTCTTCATCACGCACATCTGTGCAAAAATCTTCTGCCATGGCTTCTGAGGCGGGAGCTCTCTCCTTTCGAGCCCCCTAACGCGTTGTACTAGGCATCTCGGTTGTCAGGTGCTGATTGCACGTGCAAGTTAGAAAGTTTTGGGTGGCTCCATTTTGGACCACACCTC